TAGAGTCGCCTCTTGTGTTGTTGGAAAAGAGTGTTTGTGATGACCAGCTTGTTCTCTTGACAAAACTCTATTAGCCTTTGTCCTGCTTCGTTTTGAATTCCAAGGCTAAACTTACCTGTTGTTCTTTTTATCTCTTGACTCCCTACTTTAGCATTCCAATCCCCTATAATGAGAAGAACATCTTTCTTTTGTGTCAGTTCTAGAAAGTGTTGTAAATCTTCATAGAATTGGTCAGTTTCTGCCTCTTCAGCATTGGTGGTTGGTGCATAAACTTGGATTTCTGTGATGTTGAAAGGTCTGCCTTGGATTCATATTGAAATCATTCTATCATTTTTGTGATTGTATCCCAGTACAGCTTTTCCCACTCTTTTGTTGACTGTGAGGGTTACTCCATTTCTTCTACGGGATTCTTGCCCACAATAGTAGATATGGTAATCATCTGAATTGAATTTGCCCATTCCTGTCCATTTTAGTTCACTGACGTCCAGGATGTCAATGTTGATTCTTGCTATCTCCTGTTTGACCACCTCCAGCTTCCCAAGGTTCATAGATCTTACATTCCAGGTTCCTATGCAGTATTTTTCTTTGCAGCATCAGACTTTCCTTTCACTTCCAGGTGCGTTCACAGCTGAGCGTCCTTTCGGCTTTGGCCCAACCACTTCATTAGCGCTGGAGCTACTTCGACTTTTCCTCTGCTCTTCCTCAGTAGCATATTGGATGGCTTTTGACCTGAGGGGCTCATCTTCCAGTGTCCTATCTTTTAGTAAGAGCATTTATTTATTTATTTATATTTTATTTATACCCCACCTATCTGGTCATTGCGACCATTTAGTGCAGCTGACATTAAATCTTCTATAGTCCATCCCAAGGGCAGAAATGACACTGGCCATAAGTATGAAGTCTTGTGTTCTCTTTCAGAAGAAAAAGAACTGCATTGGTGCAAAAAAACCCTTTCCTAGGTTTACTTTGGTTTTCCCAATTCCACTCTGTAACCTATTAAGTTACTTCTAGGTATATATGTCACTGAGTACAATGGCTGCTAGGTTATTCATTTATAGACAATTCACAGCCCAGTTAATGAACTCGCATTACTGTGGGTGGTGAACAAATAGCAAACCCCACCCATTTCATTTCCATAGAAACATAATCAAAGTGGCAATAGAACTGGCTGGAATGTTACCTGAAGAAATCTGAGGATGAAAAGTTAAAAATTAACAGAATTGGAGAGCAAGATGGCCTTAAAGGCACCTGGTCATGATTCTACATGGGCTGAAATAGACCACAATGTGGTGGCTCCTAGGGTTTGGTTGTGTTGCCTCCATTGGTTCCCAATAGCTTTTAAAGAATAGGTTCTTGCGAAGACCTTTTGCTTTATATTTTGTCAGTGTTTCTTAGCCATCCTTGCACGCGGAGCACCCATGCTGCTGATATAGGAGGAGCTGCCTTTTGTCTCCTGCAGCTTTCCAGAGATTGCTCTCCAGTGTCAGTGACAACCTAGAAAAGGCAAGTCCTGGTCCTCAGGTGCTTATAATCTTAACATGGGCAGAAAATGTGAATTTAACGAGTGATAACTCTAAGGAGATGCAGTTACAAGCAGGATAGAGTTGGGGGCTAAAGGGCTCCATTCAGTAATAAAACACAGGAAGGGACAAGAGCTAATCTACCATGTCCCAATGCACACAGTTTTGTCTGATCCGGAAATCTGATGAGCATTCCCTGCACCCCCTCATTCAGGTCATTCATAAAAAAGGTTGAAGAGCGCCGGCCCCAGGACTGAGCCCTGGGCTACCCGAGTTTGAGGAGGAGCCCGCGGGCAAGCCGTCCTGCTGGGCATTTCTGGCCTGAGCTTCTCTCTCTCTCTCTCTCCCCCCCCCCGGCCCCCATTTCGGGTGGGGGCATGGCAGGTTTAGGAGGGGCGAGACTTTGCAGCCCCTCCCCACGCGAGAGTCCGGTGAACAGCGGAGGGGGGTAAGGCGGGTGGGGAGCGGGCCTGTCCTGCCTTCGGGCAAATGGGGCTCCCACCCAAGCCTGCCTCTCGGGACGGGAGGGGGGAAGAGGGCGCCCCCTTTTTGCCCGCGGCTGGGTGAGAGGGCGGGGCTTTCGACGGAGGATCCAGGGGGCGACTGCGGCGCATGCGCTCAGCGGGCGCCCCTCGGCAGGACGTCACTTCCGCTCCAGGGAGCCCTCCAACACGGAAGCGGAAAGGACCCCGGAAGTGAGTTGCTGGGGCGCATCTAGGAACTCCAACGGCCACGGAGCGTCTCCTAGCAACGCCTGGCGCGTCCCCAGCGACGACGGCCTCTGCCCGCCTGGAGCGCCATGGAGTCGCCCCCGGCGGTCCCCGAAGCTCAGGCGGGTACGAGGCGACACGGAGAGCCCTCTTCATGCCTCCAGCGTCCCCGGCTCAGGGGGACTCTGAGCGTGTGCAGAGAGCGGAGAGCGCGCGCTCTCTCTCTCCGGGCTCCGCCAGTTCCCGCGGAGCGAAGCCGCTCGTGGGCGGGGGGAGTGGGGGGCGCTCCTGGCACGTCCTCTCGCCAGACGCCGCCGCCGCCCCCGCGCCGGGAAGGAGGCCTTCGGGGTGGAGGTGGTCCGACCCCTTTCGCCCTTGATGGGGCCTCCTCGCCCGAGCGGACAGGCCCCGGCCTCTTGGTCCGGCGGGGGCCGTGAGGAAGGGGACACCCCCGCCGCGGCCGGGGTCTTCCCGGCACGGCACGGCACAGGCTGCTCGGTCAGAAGCCTCCGCCGCGGCGGGAAGGGAGGCTCCGCCCCAAAGAAGCCGAAAGCAAGAGGCGGGCGTGCAGGCGGGGCTTCCTCTCCCCTCCTCAGGCACCTCCCCCTGCCCTGATCTCAGTCGGAGGAGGAGGAGGAAGGACCCCCCCCCTCCCCAGTCCTGGGACTCCTTCCTCCCGCCCTCTCTCTGGACAGGCCTGTTTGGGATTCCTCACCCTCGCCAGCCCTGCCAGGTGGACCCCTTCCTTTCTGGCCACCCCCACCCCTCCTTGGTGGTGCCCTAGGACGGGGCAGAGCCCACTGGAGGCAGCCCCTGCCAACTGCACTGTGCCATGTGCCTATCTTTCAGCAGGTCACCCACCGGCCCTGGCCGGCTCACCCTCAGAGGACCACTCCTGGGCCCGCTCCGTCCGGCGGCGCCTGGCAGCCGAGCTCCAGGACTGTGGGCACGTTGACTCCAAGCACGTGGAGGCCCTTGTGGCTGAGCTGATAGTCCTCTTCCATGCCGTGCTGCAGAAGAGCAGCCGCCGTGCCTGGCTGCGTCTGGTGGAGGCCCTGCACTTGACGGCGCCCTTTCGGCAGCTGCTCTCTGGGCGGACAGAGCTGGCCCCCTACCTGGAGGGCCTCTACTATCAGTTCCAAAGCGGCCAAGCTCTGGTGTCTGACTTGGATGTCTTGGGGGCCATCGGGCAGGTGTTCCCCAAAGAATCTTGGGCCCCTCCGAGAGCTACGTATCCCCGAGACTCTGCAGACACAGCCAAACTGATGCCATCTAGCCAGGAGCCGGTTTTTGCTGGTTTGCCCTGCCCTTTTGCTACCGGCTGGGAAGGACCCGGAGCTTCCAGCATGCTGCAGCCAGACCCTGTGTCTCTTCAGGAGCTGCAGAGGTGTGTGGGGCCAGTTGGCAGCAAGGTAGCCCAAGAGGAGATGCCTTGGGCCAGCAGTCTGGGCCTGATGGCTCTGACACTAGCCACGGATGTGCCAACAGAATACCTCTGCACAGACTCACCCAGCGCTGCACAGTAAGTCCTCAGGGAGCCACCGGGGCCACCCCTCTGGCTGGGATCTTCTGCTGCTCACTCCCCTTTTTCTTTTGGGTGTTGCTGCAGACTATCCTCAAAGACAATCAGCGAGACACCAGGACCAACCCTGATGCCCAGGAAGATGACAGCAGCAGCACTGGGCAAGGAGGTGGCACCGAGCAAGGAACCACCAATGACAGGTCTCCAAGCTGCTGAAACATTTGCAAGGAACAGGCAATTAGGGAAAATGCAATTCCTGTATCTCAACGTTGCCCCCAACAAGCATTTCAGGTAGTCTGATTTCATTTTAGTCTTCACTACCATCTCTTTCTCCCCACTAACAACCTTTCCTTGCTCAGGGTGGCAACGTGTGGAGAAGCTGTCTGCTAAGTCCCCCTGCTAGAAATTGGAAGGCAGTGCTGAGGGCATGGGAAGATGGTGGCAAGAGGGGGCCATGCCCAATGCCTGCAGCGAAGAGGAGAGGAGGATCTCCTGGTTCTGGCCCAGAACTGGCCCCCAGAACCTTTCCTCTTCCTACTGGTTCGGGAGAAGTGGTTTTACTCTTGTGATTCCCTCTTCTGTGCCTGCAGGCCTTATGACCTGGTGACGGTTCCCAAGCATCTGGTCAATGCCCAGCATTATGTGTTTTCACCCTATGGAGTGCTGCATGTGCACCCGGAGGAGGGGACGGAGGCGCTTTCCCTGGGCAAATGGCACCGGGAGGCTGTGCTGTGGCAGCTGATGCAGTCCATTCCTTCCTTTCGGCTTTTCCTGGTCCGCAAAGCCTTCATCCGGTGAGAAGGAGAAGGAGGAATGGGAGAGCCCAGTGGTCTTGGAAGTGCCCGCCTAGGGCTGGACGGCCCGGTGCCCTCCTTGGTGTGCCGGGACTGGGGGGGGGCTGGCCACTGTGGCTCAGCCCCAGGAACTGCAGCAACCTCCCTCCCTCCCTTTCTCCCTATCCCCCAGCTGGTGCTTCAATGTCAAACACCTGCAGTATCTGAAGCGTCGTGAAAAGTTGCAGCTGCAGCTACTCCAGGCGGTGCCTCACTTTGGAGCGGCCCTTCTTCACATTTCCAGGTGGAGTGGAGGGACCTGCTGGGCGGCGGCGGGGGGGGGGGCATTGCATCCTTTTGGCAATGCCACCGCTCTTTCAGGGGGTCGCCATTGCTTTTCTCTACCTGGCAGGCTTCTGCAGGAGCTGCGCTCCGTCCACTGGCTGCCCACCAACCACACCAAGTGCTTCAGCTTTCCGGAGCTGCAGCGAGCCCTGGACCAGGAGAACAGCAACGCCCAAGGACTGCTCAGCCGGTTCCTGGCCCTCTGTACCTCTATCTTGGAGCTGGTAAGCAGCGGAGAGTGAAAAGAGAGAGGGTGGCTCATTCACCAAAGTCTTTCTTTTATCTCAGTATCCTCTTGGTACTTTGTATTTCAACAAATGGAATGTCCAGAAGGAATTCCTCCTTTTCTAATATTTATTTAGCAAGCAAGCAGGTATATAAAAAGCCACATGGGTCTATAAATGTTTATAAGAGTATATGTTTCAATATCTAGAACATTTTGATAAAAGGTTTGTATTTGGATATGACTGAATAATCTTAGTATTGAAAAAAAAACACCCGATACCCTGACTATATGTAACTTTGACGTATGCCGTTATAATATAGGATACAATAATTTAATGTGCTATAAATAATTATCTCAATATCTAAATTTAAAGTTACAAACTGTCAAATAACTCACAAAAATTATATAAGAAAAGTATTATAAGAAAAATGTATGTTGCATATTAATTATGATAGAAGCAATTTTGATATCAGTCATAATAATAATCTCACCCCAGTGGCAGAACCTCCCCGCTTTCCTTTTAACAAGGGTATAGCATCACGCACAGTCTGTGTCTCACTCTGCTTTCCCTGTTCATTCCTGCCCCCTATTTATACCTCTGTGTTCTCACAAAACTCAGACTTTCCTTCCCTCACAGGGAAACCCGATCCCTATGAGAGCAGGCCATTATAGGAGCTGATAGCTGCCCCTGCCTCTGGCTAGAGATGCAATCAGCAAGGGGTGCCAAATTAAAACAGTTTGTATTATTGTATTCACAAAGGCTTTCATGGCCGGGATCTAATGGTTGTTGTGGGTTTTTTCAGGCTCTTTGGCCGTGTTCTGAAGGTTGTTCTTCCTAACAGCTGTCCTCTGAAGATGCCCTATGGCCACAGAGACTGGCAAAACGTTAGGAAGAACAACCTTCAGAACACGGCCAAAGAACCCGAAAAACCCACAACAACCAGTTTGTATTATTGTCACTAGATGGTACTGCAGAATGAAATATATATACTGTACTGTATAATTCTGTGTCCCTTTAAAACAGAGACAGAATGAATCCCTTCCCTCCCCGTTCGCCCACCACTTAGCCAGTTTAACGTACCACGAAGTGGGAGTTGCTGGTCGAGCAATGTGCCCGGCAAGCCCTGTCCTCCTCAGTCCATTTCTCCCTGCAGAGGTTCCATTCCAATCACTAGCCCTCATCCTTCCCCGACTGCTTGGCCTAGCCGTGGCTTCGTTCTCGCCACGAGCTCCTGCCAGGCATGTTCATTGGCTCTTCTTTACCTCTCATCACTGTTCCAAGTCTGTGGCTGGGGCTGAGTTCCAGTCAGGAGCCCCGGCCCTCTGCACAAAAAAAAGGAGGGCTCTCATCAGGGCAACTGTTCCTGGCGCTGCCTGGCCAGGTGGGTGAGGTGCTGAGGCTGCCACAGTCGCCTCCAGAGCCTCTTCTGGGTTCCCTGGCCAGGTCTCTGAGGGTGGCCCAGGTACTGTTGCTAGGAAAGAAGAGGGTCCCACTGCCACCGTAGCCCCTGCCTAAGAGGAAGGTGGCCTCCTTCCCAGCCCAGGGACCTTGAAGCATGTCCAAAGGTTGGGGGCTGCTCTTCCCATGCCTCAGGCCTTCCTTGTCACCTTGCACCACCTGTGCTCAATCCCAGCAGCAACAGCAACAGCTCCTTCTCCTCCTCCTCCTCTCTGCCCCCTTCACTTGGTCCACTCTCTGGGTTCTTGGGCAGCCAGGCAGCCAGGGTCTCTGGAAGGTCCTCCAGGAGGCCCAGTGATGATGAGGCAGATGACTCACCTGGGATGGAGGCCCCCCTCCTGACGTGATGTCCAGAGGATCCTTGCATTTCCCTGTTTGGTTTCATGTGATCTAAAACCTCTGAAAAACACATGCCTATGTCAACTGTTCGCTTTGCTTTCTGTGTCAGTTCTATACATTGCTGACTTTGCCTAGGGAGGCTGTTGAAAGGAGAAGCCTCACAAAACATATCCATTCCTTGGTGATCTGAACTTCACTAGATCTGAACTAATGATGCCCCTGCCTGGTCCACCTAATTTGTGGTTCACTTTCATAAACGTTGACTATGGTGTACTGTTAACATAAAAGATGTTCTCGTACTTTTCTGTGGGGTGCTTGAGAGAATACAGAACCCTGTTATCCTCGTTCGGGCTGAGCCAGAGTCCTATTGCCCGCTTGTGTAAGGATGTCCTATATTGCAAGCTTTCTAACCTACACTGGCTTGGTTGGCTTCTCTCTCTGTTGAAGCAGTGATAACTGTGGTTGTGTGGGTTCTTCTGGCAGGTGCGGGGTGACACGTACAAGATGGTCCATGGCTTGCAAATGCAGGTGCAGAACTACAAACTGTACATCACCAAGGAGTCCCTGTACAACCAGCGAAGGCAGTATGAGAAGCTGCAGCACCGCTTGCAAGAGGCCGAATCTTGGCTGCAGAGGCTGGGCTTCTTGGCTCTGCTAGTGAATTTCCTCATCTGCCAGACCTTGGTCTCTGTGATGCAGGAGGAGTTCACCACCTTTGTCAGTAGTACCATGAAGGTCCGGTCCCCTAGGGAGCAATTTCTTTTTTCCTTCCTAGACCTCCCTAGGAGGGAGCCATTGGCAGGCTCAGTTTACAGTGAGCGTGCTGCGGTAGAGCTCAGATACACAGGGAGGCTACTGCTGGGTGAACCTGCCTTTCCCTGTGTTGGCAGAGCATGCAGGAGGCCCAGAACCTCCTGCAGAAGTATTTCCATTTCCACCGGACTTTTGGAATTTTCCTCTGCAGGCTGACGGGACGGTCCGGAAGGCTGTCCTCCGAGTACAGCTGGTGTTCAGTGAAGACAGCCAACTGATGCTCTTTCCTTCCAGCCAGGAGCTGGAGGACTGCCTGTTGGGGGCTATGATGACCGTGCTGGAGTCGGTCCTGCAGGTGAGTCAGTCTGCTCAGCAGGAGGCCCCTTTTTGGAGCCTTGCCCCAGCATCAAGCCCATGAGCAGGGGCTTTGCTGCCCTGTAGGCTGAGGGGCCAGGGCTCCAGGGAAAATTTCCTGGCTTTCTATTCCTTTCAGACCACCCGAATCAGAAGTGAAAAGCCAGAGACCCAGGAGAACCTACCAAGGTCCACATCTGAAGTTCAACAGGGTCTGGCTCATCCTGCTGTTGAGCCAAAGAGGGACATGGGAAAAAGTCAATGTGAGGATGGCTCTTCCCCCCCCCCCCAGCCCATCTGCCCTTCTCCATGGGCATCTCCTCGGGCAGCTGTCCAATCTCTTCTTGAGACTGGGCCCGGTGCCTTCAAGAACTGTGCCGGGGATTGATTGGAAGGTTGTGAGTCAGAAACTGAGAGGGAGGATCTTGCACAGCGGCACCAAAACTTCAGTGTTTCTTGAGAGAAACTAGAAATTACACAGCACATGGAAAACTGACGAATACCCAGTATAGTGCCAGATAGTGGACAGAGTGATGGACGGGGACTCCAGAGAACACGGTTCAATCCCCCACTTAGCCATGGAAGTTCACTTGGGCATATGTGGAACACACCTGTCCCGAACCTCCTGAGGAAAAAAAGGGCCCGTAGAGGAATCTTGCCTCTGAGGTGCTGGTTGGAGAACAGGCGATGAGGTCTCCCTGGAGATTTTCCGTGGCTGCCTTGGCATCCATGTTGAGTGGGAGAGTAGAACATTCGGCACCCTAGTCCGAAGGGGATGGGACATGTTTATGATGTGTTGGACTTGTGAGTGGGGTGTCTTGGGGATCGCGGGTTGTATGTGATAAATGGGTCAATAGGAGTGTTTGTTGCAGCTGTTGCTGTGGCAGGTGCAAGCAGAAGTGGCAGGCAGACCTTCTTCTCAGAGGCCACTGAGCAGCTCCAGCAGATGTCCACAGCCATGGTGTGTGGTGAGGAGCCCCAGCTGGTGCATCGGCTAGATTTGAAGGCTTTTGGTGGCCTGGAGGTGGTTGGCCATCGGCTCAGGGGCGAGTACCCTTTGCTGTCACGTCAGCAGCTGGAGAAGGACCTGCAGTCTGACCATATCATTCAGGAGGCTCTGGCCCAGCAGCGTGCTCAGCTCACGGTGAGTGTTTTCTCAAAATATCCTGATCCCCCTTTCCCCCTGCGAGAGTTCTTGCTATCCGCCTGGACAGTTTCCTGCTCCGCGTCTGCATTTGGAACGATCTTTTCTGCTCCTCTGTCTTGACCCAAGAGGCTGGAATATTCAAATTAGGCTTAAAGGGCCTTCCTGAGTGGTGGAACAATCTCCACCCCGTCGTTTTGCTTGGCCCTGGTGCAAACCGGCCACAACACAGTGCCTGTCGGAGGAAGAAGTGACGGTCGGGTAGCTTTGCTGTGATGCTGCCTGCCTTTCTTGCCTGCTTCCCATTGGAGGAGCCAACCTGGACATCTGCCTCTTCCGGGTCTGGCAGGACAAATCGACTGAAGGAAGAAGAGTGGGCAAGCAGGTGCCTGCCATGCAGAGTAGATGGGTGGGCACTCCACTCACCTAGGTGTGTTCCCCCTCAGGGTGAGTGGATTCATCTGTTTAGGCACTCAGGGCACTGGTATAGATATGGCATATACACACGCATATGTCCCACGCTGGCAGGCTCAGCTGAGTCCATCTGCCACTCACAGGTGTCAGCTGAAGCACACAGACATGGCGTCCCCTCCCAGCCAGGGCACAGAAACCACTGTGAGGCTGAACAGAAGCGGTCACGTTCCCAGTGACCTCTCTCTAAGTCCCATTTCTCCTGCTTTTCTGACAAGCAAGGCTTTTTGAAGGATGGGGCTCATCCACTCAGGAAGAGTACTGTGGGAGTTATGAGGAAATCCCTTCCAAATATGTCAGTTTCTCTGAAGCACCTCAAGTGTTGCTCTAGTGTGAAGTATGTCAAGAACCTCAGTTAGTCAAACAGATCACCAGGCCAGGCCTCTTCCTGCTCAGAAATGGGGAGGGGGGCACTTCCATGCAGGGAACTCGCAGAGCTTCACATTTCTCTTTTGTGGAGACCCTCACACACACATCCATCATCCCTCAGAAACATGGAGGGGTGAACCGTTATAGCAATCGTTGCCGTAATGCCTGGCTGGCCAGGTGTTGTCTAGATTCTGGCCAAGCTTCCCATTCTCCTGGCCCAGATGCTTACCTTTCATTTAAAACAAAAACTGTCATTGTTGTCATTATAGTAGCCCTCCTGGAACCAGAGATACTACAGTATTTAAGGCAAGATTGGAAGCCCCTGGTTTGCTCAGTTGCCATCCAAGAAAAGAGCATGTCTTTTTGCAGGGTGCAAAATCCTCTTTCCTCAGTTCCCAATTTGGGAAAAAGCTCCTGCTGCCTCTTTTGCCAACAGAGGAGACCTGTTTCACCAAGCAGCCTGCAAACGGAACAGACAGCAAGGAAGCCCCAGGGGTGAAGGGGAAGAGGGGAAGCAGCAAGACAGAAACACCAGCACAAGAACTGGCCTCGAAGTTGCAAGGAAACCTGTGGGTTTTGCTGCTGCAGGCGTGGCTGGACAATCTTATGCAGAGCCTGGCAAAAGTTCCTTTCTGGGCCTGCAAGTTCCGTGCTGGCTGGCAGATTCTGAGAGTTACAGTCCTAAAGGAGTTTTCCCAGGCTCTGATGATGTGGATGATACAGGACTTCCAGAAAGGAAAGAAAATCTCAAGATCCATCAGGTGCCAGCCCGAGGAACCGAGAGGGTGGGAAGAGCAAGAGGATTGGAAAGTGCGGAACTGGTGGAGTTTAGGCTTTCTGGAAATGTCTGATCACCTTCTTGGCATTCGCGTAACAGCAAGAACGTGATGGTGCTCTTTCAGAAGGATTAGTTCTACGTTTAGATGCCTCGTGCGGTGTAGAAGAAAGAGTGGTGGACTAGGACTCAGTAGGCACTGGGTTCGAGGCCCCACCTGGCCATGCAATCTCACCGGGACATGTGCAAAAGTGGTAATACCACTCCTTAAATACCCCATTTACCTTGATTGGCCATGCAGTCTCACCGGGACATGTGCAAAAGTGCGCTCCTTAAATACCCCATTTACCTTGAAAGCCCTGTTGAGGCCACTCTTAAGTCAGTTCCAACTTGAAGATACATGACTTAGCAGTGCTACGTTTACGTTTTATGGGGCATGGCGGGCTTACTCAGATATAAATGCTACTACATGTTATTTGGGTCTTATGGCCAAATAAATTTGTGTGGGAGATTGGGAAACCTGGATTTGGAGGAAGCAGGCACTCCCTGGATGGTATGTGGGCAATGTGGCCTTCTTTTTACGTAGCTGCCCCTAGAGAAGATCTCCCAACAGCCTTAAAGAAGCTGGCTCCACTGGGTCCAGGAGGGTCCTCCGAGGGTTTTGGTGGCACCCAGCGGCTGCCCAGCATTGACAGAACCCTTGCTGCCTGCCACCCGTGGCATGCTACTAAACACAGAATGTCTTGGCTTTCTCTGAAGGGCAGCTCAGCCGGTGATCGCCAGCCAGCCAGCCCGCCAGCCCAACCCGAAGCACCTTCCACCACCACCTATTCCATGCAATTTCATGAGCATATAATTATGTGTACTGCAGGAGAAGAAGCTGGAATATTCCCCCAGCGTGTCCCTTTTCCCTGCACTAGGTGTAGGGCACCCTGTCTGTCTCCTGAAGGACGTGCAAGTCTTCCCGGGAGTTAGAGGAAAGAGATCTCGTTGGTCAACTTTCCCTTTTCTTGCTTTTTCTGTTGGTGTTGTTCACATTTTTCTGTTTTTCTAGATGGAGGTGTGTTGGGCAGTTCCCAGAGGCAGGCTTTTTTCTCTGGCCAAAGCACTCTTCTTCCAGGAGTTGCATTTTGGAGAGACCTTTGTTCTGCCCAGGTCTGTTCCACATCATCATCCTTCCTGCCTGCCTTGAGTTAGAGGAGGATCGAGGAGATTCCTCCACCTGCTGTAGGCAAGGACCTGACCCAGTAAGACCAACCCTCTATGGTCTGCTACTTCTTCGAGGGATGGCCCCCCTCACTTATCTGGGGCCAGTTCCTTTGGGATGACATGAGGACTTCGCGCATGGTGTCAGGCGGCTTTTGCTGAGAATCTAGGCTAAGTGCTTCCAACACCCTTTCCTTCGATTCTGGGGAACAGCCAGATGAGTTGCTTTCTTTGTGGTTTCTTTTCCGTCTTTGACACACACGCATGCCCACATTCTCTCTCCGGCTTGCACCACCGTTGGAGGGGAAGGGGGAGTGTATTCAGAATCAATATCGAGCTGCTAAGCTGTGCTCAGGGACTGAAGCTGAGCCCTCCAATGGAAGACACCAGGCCTGAGGTAGGGATTTCCCACTTGACCAAGAGGAGGTTGGACTCCGTCACTGCTGAAACCCCTTAACGCTTGTTTGAGCCTGTGATCTCAGGAGCAGCTCCAAGCCAGAAGCATTGTGGTGAGAAGTAGGGAAAAGAAAAAAGACAAAATTTTTTTTTAAAAAAAGCACAACTGGAAGTTTAACAGAGAGAGCCTCCCTGATTTGAAATCCTGATAATGCACAAGGTCCTTTTTGTGACCGTCCCGAGGAAGTGTCAGTGGCTGTGGCACTTTCTCTTGTGAGGCAGAGAATCCTCCTTGACATGCACTCCCAGAGGAAACGGGGGCCACCCCCCTGGGAGGTGTGGGATGTGCCTGCAGAGGCTTGGTGCTTTCAGGTCACAGGGCAAGACCTCATTCAGAAAGGCTGTGGCCGACTGTAACCGCCTCCTTACCCGCAGGCCGCACTGACGGACACCCAGCTGCTGTGCCGAGAGTACTCCTGGTTAGGGGAGATCTGCCACTTTGTGCATAGCTGGGGGACAGACCAGCTGGAGAGCATGAAGGGATGGCCGGCCGAGGAGTATGTGAACCGAATCCTCAAGCTGCGCACGTGGGTGACCCAGGTCCAGAACGTGCCACGGGTTGTTACCACGTATAACCACCTCCTTTTAGTGGACTGCAGTGGTATTCACCAGGATATTCGTAAGTGCTGGGATCTGGCGGGTGGGAGCAGGGCACCCACCACAGAGCCCATGCTGCTGCTAAGTCCTCCCTCCCCCTCTCCCCACAGTGCCCTTGCTGGCTTCCATCAGCGAGGACATCCTGTCCCTGTTGCTGAGCGAAACGACCCAGCGCAGCGAACTGTTGATTGCTGAGCTCTCTGGAGTCTTGCAGCTCTTCCTGAACGTCGGCACGGACATCCTCACGATTGCCAAGTGCTCCCAAAAGGTAGGCCTCCGTCCGCTCCCCCTCCCCACCTTCTCCGGAGGAGGGCAGAGAGCCATGGCCCGGCTTGCCACGGCTGAATTGCATTGGCCAGAATCACTCTTCTCTTTTTAATGGATGAAATGCTCTTTCAGGAATGTTTCACCCAATCTCATGCCATGCACAAGACCACCACTTAAGCTTTGCTCCCCTCTTCCTTGTGCAAGGGAACACTCTTCTGCTGCCCTTAGAGATCAGACTGTCAGACGTCTGAAGGGGAGATGTGCTACAATCCTAAGGGAAGACTTCAGCTCCCCTGTTGTTGTTGTTGTTGTTGTTGTTGTTGTTGTTGTTGTTGTTGTTGGAATGCGAACTCTGCTGAGAATATATGGCCCAACAGACTGTTTACCTGCCTTGTTGATCACTGTCACTTCCAGAAGGTGCTTACTGCACTCTTCTGCCTCTCCATTTCCTTGGGACTGGAACATTTCCAGCCTATGGGCCATTGTTTCCTTGTCTATGTGTTGATTCATTCTTGTTAGGATTTTGATAGATTTAGCTGCTATAACTTCAAATGTTTCTGTTATGTCCCATCTGTTTCAAGTTATTTATTTCTTCCACCTGCACAGTGAGCAGCCTTTCTTCCACCTGCATGGTGAGCTGCCTTCACTTCATTTTCTGAAATGGAAGGCTTTTAATCAAAATATTCTTCAAGTATTCTAATTTCAGTTTGATTTTTGTGCTTTGACCACTTTTTTGAGACATTTGAAATGAATGAAATGAAAAAATGAAGCGTTCCCTCCAGCTCCGTCCTTGTCATTTTCACTTCCACTGATCTGTTCTCCTGCACCAGTCTAGTTTCTGGTGTATCACTGGCTGCTATGTGCCAAGTCCTTGGTGTCTGCCTGCCTTCTGGAAGACCATCTCACTCCCCCAGTAGAATTCCACTGAAAGCCTTCTGGACCAGGTTGGCAAGAAGGGTCTCCTTGCCAAGCCCTGCAAGGTGCAAGTCCTCTCCCCTATGCAAAAAACAGCCCCTTCCCAAAAGCACCCTCTGCTTAAACCAGTTGCTCCCTTCTTGTTGGACTGCCTTTCTTCCTGGGCCACCACTTCCTAGGAAGGAGTAATGGGGAAAAACCTCATTGTCGTCTTCCTCCCCAGAGGCATTCCTCTCTCTCTGACTCCTCTGGGAGGATCTGGTCAGCGCTGTCCA